GTTTTGCTCCACATTTACTTTTGGTCAACTTTTATTACACCCTGCTAGTCCTCGTGAGCTTGAGCAACACTAGTAAACTTCCATTGCATTTGTCGCACTCTCGGTGGTCAGGAGTAGTTTTTTTTATGAGGCATTGCGCTATTCACAATGAGAAAGTATCCATGAAAATTCTTTGAACTCTGTTGCGGCGTATATTCAATATTGGTTGTGCTTCAAAAAACTATCAAGTCCCTGACTGCGTTGAGAAGAGAAACTTTAAAAAAAAATCCACAATTCACTCAAATCTTCCCAACTTAGAAGAGGCGGTAAACTGTTGATGCAGTGTAGTTGCCTAAGAGTGTTCTACTGAGAATGTACACGTCAAACAGCAATATTAGACAAAAAAAAAACGTTTTGAAAAGTCCAACGTAATGCTTTATCATTCGGATACCGATGTATAAGAATATATGATATGTAAGACACGGACAAGATTTGTGTGCAACAACTCATGATAAAGAGTAATGGTGATTGACTTGGCTGTATTGGCGATAATGGCCGAGACGTTCACTGGCAAATGATTCAGAAGAAAAAAATGTCGGTGAGGGGTTTGTTTCGGACATGTCTTCCGTGATGGATGCAAACATTAACTGAAATCCACTTCATCTTTATGCCCAAAAAACCGATCATTTTTGAACTCGAACTGTCTACTTATTTTATTTATTTCTTTTATCTTTGTTTGTTGTAATCCACTACGCCAATCATGTTTTACTCTCTTCATGTCACAAATTTGTAACTAGTTGAAAGCTACGCACTCTGATTTAAAAGTACCCAGAACTCTTGCAGGATTAGTCTACCAGCTGAAAGTATCTTCCAATTGTAATGTTTCCTTCTAATTGAGTTCTGCTGCAATCCTTCTCAATTAACCTTGAAAATCCATCAGAACGGACGACTTACATTGGCGAACTGAGCTCAAACGTGAAGGAATGAGTAGAGTCACTCCCACACAATATCAGAAAGCATTTGAGCTTCTCGAACCGAACCGCGAAAAACATGAGTGAAATGCGATCTCATGTCAGAACTAAACCGATCACGATGACGACGTATATGTTGTAATACGTATGTGAAGTTACGTGCAGCGTATGTTCGAGTGATTTTTTGGAAACAGCTGGAAGCAGAGGTTGACGGAATTGTCAGCTTACGACACTTACATAGGTTGACTACCACCATCCGATAAATTTCTCTCTAAAAGCGTTATAACCAAGAAGAAAGACAACCGCACACTTGGAGGTATTGAATAATTACAAAATTTACATAGAAATTGGCAAGAAATAGCAGTAAAATACTTTCACGCTTACAGTATACACTATACTAGAATTTATTCAATATAACTCATTAGCATTTTCTCGTCCTTGTATAAATTAAATTTTAGAGAAGAATGTAGTGCTACATAATAATCTTAATGAATAAAGATATTTGATTATTGAGTCCACCCAAGTAACTATAAAAATTGAAAAGGTCGACAAACAGTGCTTGACATAAAAACAAAAATTTCAAATAGTTTCTTCTGCAATTGGCCAACTCAAAACGATCTAATGTTGGATTTGTGAACTACCGTACCAAATATCCATGAAAGAAAAATTAAATTGATGATTCATCAAATGCAAAGGAATTGTAAAAAAAAAAAGAAATCTCATGACAGTTCACCACCAACAGTTTTTTTCATATAGAGCATAGTTTGTTGAGTGAGATGTCTTAAAAGCCTGTTCACCACGTTATGCCCTTAGTAAATCTTGATATGGACACCATAATGTCATGAGTCATAACAGATAAATACTTGAGTGTAGTATATCTGAGATCAAATGAAACAACAATTTAATAAGTGAATAGTGAGTGAGAATCATGTTTCAAACACTGTATCTTGCTATTAGTCCATTCACTGATACACTTTGATTCTTTCTATCTTCGCTTAAAACACTAATCAGTAGGTGAAATTCTGAGCTGGTGTAAAGTTGGAGATGACAAAAAGATCAGAAATGCTCTGCTTAATTCCTTAATCAGAGCGTTACCTGCGTAGGAGAAACGCACCTCTTATCAATCAGTCTTTTACACGTAAAGACCTAGTCTTGTTTTTGTATTTTACACTGAACTCCTACAGTTTTGAAGTTGATAAAGAATGTGGGATTGCTCAGAGCCAGTAGAGAAACAAATAAGCATGAACTCGATGAAAACTGTTGTATGTATGATATTGTCATCCTTGAAGTCCACCATAGAGTACTTTTCCACTTTAGTACGAAGAAGATTTTAAAACTGCAAATCGTCTGTAAAGACTGCTTGAATGAAGCTAATAAGAGAACAAGTTTGGAATTCCAGGTGATAATTTGAGACATGGCGTCGATTATTTTAATAAGCCTAATTCACTACTTATCCCCTGAAACATGAAAAACGATGAAGCAAAGGGGATGATAAGTGCTGAAAAGCATGATAGCATGAGAACTGGAGGAAAGAAATTCGGTGAATTGTCAATGCAAATACAAATGGATCGGACATTGTTAAATAATGAGCGGCATAATAAGAGGGTACTCAGCCAGAACTGATCTCGGGCAATGAATAATTTATTGCCTGCCCATTGTCCATTTCATTACGATATATTTATTGCTCAATGTATTTGATGCAGATTTGATGAAGAACGCATGGACTGATCAATAGGGTTTTTCAATTAAACAATAAAAGTAGAGTGACACACAAAATTAACCCTATCCTTGCATTGTGATACTTCGAGGGCTGAGGTTTCCATTGCGAGGAAAAGTTTTACGTGAAAAAAGGACAATATGCAAGACATTTTCTATCACTCGTGGCGACATTCAATGAAATTGTCGAAATGTCACAGTCAGCAAATTTACCTTCGCGTGTGAGTTCAGACACTCTATTTCCAAATAACTGGATCTCTAAATTGGATTGAACCATCAAAGGTGTTGTTAGTGGGGTGTCTACTGAATGACGGTGTGCGTGGACTTTCCACTGAAGGTGACTTGAGTTGAAATTATATAATAGTTGTACATTCGACGCTAAAAACCTAACTAAAAATGTGTTAGAACAGTTCAGGCTTTCCAACACCACTTGCGGTCAATGTAATGAATTTCCGTTTAGATCGCTTTAGTCACTTTCATGATGTTCCAGTGGAATACCCAGAGATTGCGAATTATAGGTAATACGTGAAAAGATCATAAACCATGATGGCATGCGATTGTTGGTAAACATGAACTATCAATTCTGATTTTCGCCCATCGACATAGATTGGAACTTCGGTCCCACATTTGCTGGGAACGTGATACTCTTAGCTACTCAACAGTACTTTCTGTAAAGCTAAGTGATCTTTTGTCCCATTTATGTAACGGTTAAGTTTCTGATATACATTTTAGACATAAAATAATAGGGCGTTGTGTCATGCCAAAGAGGTGGAGTTAGCCATCTAACTCGGCGATGACGTGGTTGAAAAATGCTGAAATCTGGCTGTATTTCACTTCACAACTCATGAGTAACCTATGTATATACGCACATACTTCATAGAGATGTTTGTTCACTTATGGTTTTCATGATTATTACCCCAATGGAATTGGAGATTATAACGAAAACACGATTGAGCTGACGAATAAAAGATGAATTAGAATACAATGGTGCCTCGACCACTACCGCAATACTTTAGTGAGCGTAATAGCTATGTTGATGTCGTATTACTGAACACTTTGATATATTGTTAGTTCTGCATATAAGGCGTAAAAAAGACGAACCAATGCGTTATTAGAAACCGGCGTGAAATTTAGACCCACTTTGACCCTATCGATATAAACCAAATATGAGTGAGTTGAATTAGGCTTCGAAGGTATTGAAATGTTAGCTGTAAGTGATCCCGCCACTTTGGGCGCAATGGGCCTTCGACTGGACGTCAGAACGTGATCACCACGATTGCACAACAGGGAAAGTAGTGCCAGACATTACAACTGCTCATTTTGAACTCTGCACTCACATCCTGTACTATTGTTCTTTTTACTTTGGTCTTCGGTGTCGCTTCAATGCTAAGCATCGCAGTTTAAAAAGCAAGGTGTTTCTTGCATGAAGCTCTTCAGCCTCGTCTTTATCGCATCAGCTCAAATTTCCAGCGACATAACTCCCGTAGTAACTTTAAAACGTAGCGACCGATGCTGATTTTTGCACAACTGCCGACATTTTCTCGATCACAAGAATACTTGAAGAGTTAGGCACTCATAGACTTGGACTACCAGAAACGACCACCTTCCACCATCTTATAAGGAAGTTTCATAGATTACACCCGCCTCCGAATTTCTAGATATTTGGAATTAGAGATTCCAAGAAATCAATCAAGATTTATTTCAATTTTCAACACAGTTTGCAGCAGTCACAAGCCCAAAAATTTGGTAGTTTTCCGTTATAAGCGCCACTTCGACCGTTTGTAAAAAACCTATTTCTTGGTCTTTTTCAATGTCCAAGTGCTCGCTCGATAGCACAAATCAAAAGAATTTAATGGTATGTCTCATCTCTAAAAAAGCCTTCTTACTGCGCTGAAAGAGCAAGCAAAAAAAATCTTGTTTCTCAGTGAAAGATTCCTCGTTGATCAAATATTTCCCTTGAAGTTCAAGTAACCAATCTATAGATCAAATCTTAAGGATTCCAGTAATTATCCATATCGTCAAAAGTATTTTGATGAAGACCCTCTTTTTCCTGACCTCGAAAGAGCCGCCAGAGACAGCTACTGTACTAAATACGTTTGAACAGCCTTTTTATCGTAAGGCCACTCTAGACTTCAAAAAATTGCGAGTACGGTAACTATTTGTATGCGTACAAATATACAAAATTGCATACATATATTGACTGGCTTTTGAAATCTCTACTGAAGAGCGACTGATGCAAACTGAAGCTATCAAACGGAATTCTTTTTATTGGACCGCATCTTGTGGTGGTATGATCTTATAATGTAGCCAATATGTAGAGTGCTGGGCGAAAACTGCGTCAGCCGGGATTCGAACCCAGATCTCACTCTTTCCGAAAGTGCGTGCTGAACCGCTGCACTACCGACGCTCATTTTGCACAATTATTTCTTTTTACAACTTTCTTTTATAATTTTTTATTGGGTATATTATAAAACCATACCACCGCAAGAGGCGGTCAAATAAATTGAATTCCGACTGCTGTTAATTCTTAATATCCGTCGGCATAGATGTACTCAATGCTGATAGCGGCTGCCCCGCCAGACCGTCGACGGTTGGCTGTTGACAGATAACGTGTTGTGGAAAACGAGCATCGGTAGTGCAACGGTTCAGCAGGAGCTCCCGGAGAGAGTAAGATCTGGTTCCCTGCTGACGCAAATGTTTTTCGACAGCACTCAACATTATTGAGACTATCAAATATTATGAGATCGAAATAGCAAAGATGAGAGAACCACGCAACAAAAGTTGAACCACTAGAGCATTTACTAGCAATACGGTACATAAAAGGTGGCTCTGTAGTCTTCTGACACGGAATCGATTTAATAATGGAATTCTCTGAACAATTATAGACTCGGAGAAAAAAAAAACGTTAATGATTGGAAAGTTGTGCACTTTGCTCAGCATTTGAAAACCAACTTTGTATGGTCTGCAACATAAAAAGACGGCACATGTAGAGCAAATCGGTAATAAATGAACTTTGAGAAGCTCTACAACGACGACCATAACTTCTACATGAGGCATCTATAATACGTTTACTAAACGATTCTAAAAACTATCATCTAAAAAAGATCCTAAGAGTACGTCATTCAGTTTTGCATAATTGATGTTGCTGTTATACTTAAGCTACAAAAGATATAACAATAGTTCTCCTCAGCAAAAGAATCTTCCTAATAATGAGTAGACCTTGAGATCCAAGAAATGACACTTTTAAGACGTCACAGAAAGCACGAGTTCACCCACTATTCAGCCGAATTCTCAGTGGTGGAGTTAGAAAGACAGGAAGCTTGTAAATCTCCAAGAATTTATCTTCAGAAACTCATGAGGGAATCGACAACTCAAAATAACACACAATCCACAATCGACCAACACCTTACGCCTGTATAGCTCCAGAGAGAAGTTTAAAGGATGATCTTAGTAAAAAACAGCAACAATACTTTTCAATTTGCAGATGTTAGGAAGAGAATCATTGAAATGCCTATCGTGATTTCAACAATCACAAGACCAAGACAATACAGTCCGATGCATAGATGGAGTCTTGGAAAAAAAAAGAAACGGAAAAAACCCTGATTCTATTAACTTCTATACGGAATGGAATAGAGAACAAGATAAATCGTGAAGCAGAAAAAGCGAGACCTGGACTACTTCGACACCCATCGTCCACTCAACCTACTACTATCCACTGCTTCATTCAAACTAAGTAGCGTCAGCGGGATACAATGAACAAAAAATGATCGTTTGAGCAGACAGATGGTGTTTCAAGAAGAATTCAGTACGATGAATCATAAACATTTGATAGTAAAACACCTATTTATCACGAGAGTACAAGTCATTGCCTTGTGTAACATTTAACAGTTCAAAAATGCTTTTACTCAGTACAAAGGCGCTGATGAAAGCTCTTAACTGCCCATGGCCCTCCTCGCTCAAGATATAACGGCCGCTTGGGAACCTATGGTTAACAACTTCAATATCAGACTAACATCGTCGGCAGTATAAAAAGAAATTTTGACAAGGTGATATTGTGGCGAGGTGACATCGTCATTGGAATGCAACTGCTCTCGGAAACGTCTCTCGAGGAAAAGTGGAACACAATTTGAATCTGATAGTGAAAACGGATAGTCTTCAACTATCTTTGGTAATGATATTGTTATTGGGATTATCCATCAATCAGAACATCGTGTGGGCGATTCCGACGGCGCTAGTGAGAATGTAGCGGCATTTTCTCAACAAATGGTGTGATAAGAATTGGACTCAGTTTTTGATACATCACACATGTTCAACAAAATGAATGTCACCTGTATCACCTATCCCCCGTTGATCGATGCCAACTTCTCCTTAAAGTAGGAGCAAAGAAAGGATCTTAGGAGCATACAGGAACGACGAACACCTAATAAATGAAAAAGAAACACTCTACTCATTTAGGCCAGCAGTTCCGACACCATAGTTCTTCACACATTAACCCCTTTGCGCACGATGAAGGTCGATATGACAGTCACTTCGGACAGGCTACGAAGAGTGGTGCGTGCTTTTATACCAATTTGGGTTTATAAAGCGCTCAGAGGAACATTGTCACCAAAAAACGGTGAAATATCGTTGATGAGGATCCTGTATGAATGATTTTGGCAAGATTAACGCTAATGCTGGCCAAAATATTTCCTTTTACAAAAGAAAAAACCACATACTTGCGAATAGGATTATATTTCCAGCTGTTGTTGAGCATTTTCTCATATCTCCTTGATGCGTTTGTAGTCATTAGATAGCATGAGAAATTTCGACTCTGATACTAAGCTGTTGCTTGTTGAGAACAATCCCGTAGTACGTTCTAATGAAAAGCAAAAGATGACGTTTTGCAATCGCAATCCAATTTTTCAATTCATAGCGGATTTTTTGGAATTATATAGTTCGATTTCGATTGTTGTAAACTTTTTTGCAAAAAACCTAAAATTTTATTCATAGAACTTTTTTAAACGTATAAGTATAACGCTCATCTGTCTTGAAAATCCCCACTTTTGAAAATAACTCCTGTCGCATGCGACCGTATTTCGAGGAGCGCGCTCGAGAGCCTTTCGTTTTTTCTAGAAAAAACCTAATCCACTAAATTATTAGAATTCAATCGATAGCTGAAATAAAGTGAATTTGAACGGTATATTTTGTTTCTCAATGGTTTGTTATTTGCGCCTGTAACAGTCGAAATCAAATTTGGCTTCACATTTAGATGTTTCTCGCCGGACAAAGCTTTTTCTATAAACAGTTAATAACCATTCGTTAGTGCAAATCCCAGCAATTTCGAAGACGTAGTTCATTTTTGGAGAAAACTCCTTAGAGAGCTGCAATAGTCAAAACAAGACTGGTTTTCGCATTCCAAAGGGTGGGACTTCGCGACATTGACGCCAAGTCACCGCGCCTTCAGCAACACATTAACTATCTCCGGAACGTAATCTTCTTTTGACTGCTACAGTACGATAGGGAGTTATTCTCAAAAACAAAGTTACTGTAAAAATGATCGAGATTTGAGCTATCGAAAAATTATGATAATTCAAGCGAAAAAACTTTACTGGGCGAGAAATATTTGAGTGTAAAAGATATTTCTATTTTAGTGCTAGAGCACATTACGAAAGACATCAGAAAAATGAAGCATGGCATCAAAATTTTCGGGATTTGAGCTATCGAATAGCTATTATAACTCTGAAGGAAATCAAAAAAAAAAAAAAAAACGCGTTCTTCCCAAGAGCTCAAAGCAGGATGCGTCCATCGAAAATAATCCAAATTTACAAAATCAAAACCTCTTTTGACTGCTACAGAACTCCGAAAAATCCGTTTTATAAAACAAGTACATTGTTGAAATTGCTAAGATTCGCCCTATCTAAAAATTATTGACTGCTTATGAAAAAACCTTTATCCATCGAGAAATACTTGAATGTGAAACAAAATATTTTTTCTATTGCTTCGGCGAAGAAAACAGACCATTCAAAGAACAGCACATCTACTCAAATTTACTCAGTTTTAGCTATTGAGTGACTATTAAAACAATTTACAAAGATAAAAAATACATTTTTATTAACGGTCTCAAAGAGGGTGACGGTAACGGGAAGGAACCGCTACACCGTCATCTCTTCTTCCCATACCACAATATGAATAAAAAATTGGAAGGAAATTATGCAGTGATTGAGAAATGGGAATCTAAAGTGCACTGTTAATAAAAAAAATGAGAAATTTCGATGAAATGGGATCGCATGCAATGAGGAACACTATTTTTAAGAACTAGCCTTGTTTTCCAACCAGTGTAATCAGTTTGTGTATTATGCAAAAAAGTATGTGAGAAATCAAAGAAATAAAGGATAATTTTGACTGAATTGCAAGTAAAAATAAAATACTATAGATATGTTCGAGAAAGGTCCTAAATATGGTATAAATACTTGGTCTTTCTCTTTGTAAATCTTCAACATATTTGGAGCAAATTATATCATTTCTAAAGAAATTAACCTTATTGAAGTCTGCTCTACGATATTTAGCCATTTAACGCTACAGAAATCCCATTTGTTGACGAAAAAAGTGTAAAATTCTTTACAAAACTACCACATTAGCCTTGGAACAGGCGCCGGCGGCCTCTTCTGGCGGGGCGGCCCTCCGAGCCGCCGGTCAGCCGAAAGTGGCGCCGTCCATAAAGGGTTAAGGTAAGCCTCAAAAATCTCTACACTAACAACTAGAGATCGAACAATTTGCTATTGCACACACTACCAACTGGGTAATCCTGAGATATCACGATGACGCAAATAAGAGAAACGAATCCAAACTCATAATTCACTGCCACAAACACTTCAGAGTCGTTGCAGGATAAGTCAAGATATAGAGAATAACTGTGGCTAGAAATGTTATGCCTCTTAATACCAAGCAAAAATCACATACTCTCGAATAACATATCTGATGCTCCAAGTGTTCCTCAAGAAGCAAGCAACATCCGGTGCTTTTCCGTCAGACAGCATGGGATCAAAAACCAATCCCTTTTGCATGATGAAAATTTTTCACAAGTGTGTTAGCAACCATTGGAAAGCTTAAATCTCTGACTACCGCCGTACATGGCCTATTCTTTGAATAAGTCTTTTTCAAACGCTTCCACTAAAGGAAAACGTTTGTGTTTCGCCCACGCGTTTCTCTCGCAAGACAGAGCTCTTTCTTTGGACTATTAGTAATCATTCGATAGCGTAAGAGTTAAAGAATTCAACGCCGTGCTTATTTTGTAAAAAGACCGTTTCTGCACAGTGTAACAGGGAAAATAAGATTGATTCTACGAAAGCAAGTGTACTTCGGCCAATTCAGCGGCTGCGGAATGGGGCGGTAGAGTAAGGGCGGGAGGGGAAGGCGCGATTATCGTTC